AAGTGGACTGTGTGTCTGTTTGTTTATTGTTGAAATTTACTGCCAACAAGTCAAACTATAAAGATATGGCCATACATAAAACCTCACAGGGGTGAGCCAGCCAGGATTACAGCGATAAAAGGCAGTAGAAATAAAGAGTTGAAAGAGAGTGGAAATAGGTCTTTATACACACAGCTGTAGTGGTGGCAAAAATATTTTAGAGATTACAATCATGTCAACTTTGGATAGAGAGGGGTGAGTAACTCGGACTCCTAGATGGTGAGATATAAGAGTTTGTTAAACAACAACAAGATCTAGAGAGGAAAAAAGAGCATTAACAAAGAAAAGAGGAAGAAAGAATACAAATACAAATTGAGAAAGAAGAAAAGTAGAGAGGACAGAATGAAAAGAGAGAGAATAAGAGTACAAATTGAGATTGCCAAGCTCATCCAACAGAAAGATAAAGAACCCAAGAATAACAATGTGAACCTAAGCTGCCCAAATTTGATGAATAAAAGGGTGACATGGATACTTTCCCGTAGGTATGAAAGATCTACCCAAAGTCAGAACTGGGACAAAGGCAAGTGGGCAATCTGTCTCGGCCCTCTTTTCAAAAGAAAAGGCCTACAAGTGTATGTGGGCATGATGTCAAAAGATGCCATGGACTATGATAAGTTAAAAGTGGCTATGAACTTACCAAGGAAGGTTTTTGCCAGAAATTCAGAGAAGTCAAACATGACACTGGATAAAATGTATTTCAGTCTGTAGCAAGACTATGACAATACTTCACAAGATGGACTGACATGGCAAAGTGTGAAAATAGTTTTGAAGACATGAACAGTTTATGATCATGTGCTCCACTAACCTGTCACTGTTCCTAAAACAGAGAACAACAAAAGATGTGGATGAGGTGATCATACTGGCAGAACAGTATTTGAAAGCCCATGGAGGGAGTATAACTGGCAAGTAAAAGAATAACCAGTCAAAGTTCAAACCAGGGGTGGCTGACCAGAAGCAGGATGCCACCAAAGGTAACAAGAAGTCAAAGAACAAAAGGTAGAAGAGATACTATGCTTGCTATAAATGAAACAAGAAAAAAGTGACTCACCATGGATGTTGCTGCCAGAAGAAACAGAATGAAGAAAACTCATCAGATTCACCACAAGAAGGAAGTGCTATCACCATGATTAAACAGTGCATGATTGATGGTTAGCAAATGGGTCAACAGTGCCAGTGGTAATCAGAACACATGATAAACATCGAGAAATGCCAACAAACCACAACATGCCAGTAGGTGAGGGCTATGTTGGGGACAAGAAAGTGAAAGCCCTACGAGACACTGGGTGCAGCAATGCAAGAGTGAGAACCAGTCTAGTATCTGATGGCCAGATGATGGGCAAGGTACATCTATGTGTGCTGATTGATGGGACAGTGAGAAAGTTTCAAAGCAAGAATAAAGGTGGACACTCCATACTATGTGTGTATGAAGGCACCCATCTACGACTTAGTAATTGCCAATATACCAGGCAGTAGAAATTTGGAGGAACCAGACAAAAAGGAGATTGATGAGGCACCTGCAGATACCACAAGAGCTCAAGAAAAGAAAAACAAGCAAGACATCAATCCCCTGCAAGTCTCAAAAGGTGATGTTTTGAATGTAGGTCTACAGGAATTGAAGGAAGCACAGAGGGAAAAATCTTCACTGCAGAAACTTTGGGACAGTGCCCGGAAAAAAAGTCAATAACAAGACTAAGGTGAAAGGGACTTACAGAACACAGGACTAGAAGAAGGGAGTGCTGTACTAGATCTATCAAAGCAGTTCTGCTGGAGAAGTTAAACAGATCATAGTACCAACAGAATACTAGACTCAAGCGATGAAGTTGGCTCATGAGTTGATTGTGAAAGGTCCCTTAGGAGCAAATAAAATGGCAGACAGAATCGCAAACAACTTCAATGGCCTGGAGCTATCGGAGATGTGACCAGATTCTGTAGGTCATGTGGTATTTGCAAAAGGATAATACTTAGAGAGAAGGAAGCCAAGATGCCACTGGGTGATCATAAAGGAGCCATTCAGAGTAGCTAAGGGCTTGACTGGATCATTAGCACCTGCATCTGACAAGATCAACTCGTACATGTTCACAGTAATTGACTATATGACATGTTAACCAGAAGCCATAGCACTGCAAAAGATAGAAACATAGAAAGTAGCAGAAGCCCTCCTGGAAGTGTTCTGCAGAGTAGACTTCCCAAAAGAAGTCTTAAGTGACAGAAGGACCCAGTATACCTCAGAACTAATGCAAGAGGTGTGCAGACTCATCAGCACTAAGCAGCACTTTACCATTCTACATTCATTCCCAGATATATTGAACTTTGTGAGAGAGCCAACAGTCTTAAAGAAAATGTGCCAGGAGAGACGATGTGACTGGGATAGATTCCTGCAGGCAGTATTATTTACTTACCAAGAAGTCCCACAAGCAAGTACAG